GGAGAGTCACTAGCAGCATTCCTGAGGACAAAGGGGCTAGAACCGTCTACCCCAGGAGACACCTGGCCAGTCCACACTCACTGCTTCAAGCACTGCATGCCAGCCCTGCTATGGGAGGGGGGATTTTCGCCAGGCCACCGGTACCATCTTCACATTGCTGACCCTGCACAACAGGTGTGAAATAGCTGTTCCTCCTGCCACAAGCTGTGCCCTGGGAGAAAAAGCTGACCCAGGATGCCTCCCTCTAAGTACCACCTTCTGCCCAAATGCGTTTTGTGTAACGTGATGGACTGAGGAGGGACAGTGCATTCTCAGAACTGCCTAAAAGTCAAATGCATTTGGTGTTGTGTGGCTGACCTTCGATAGAAGTCCATCAGCACGTTGACCAGAACTGTGCACGCCACCTGCAGGTCTCCATCACAGCCTCCTGAAGCAGAGGGCGCAGGGAGGTAGTGCTCATAGATTGCCCACTGGTGGAAGTCCTGTCTGCAAGTGAATGCTGATGTCAGTTCTGAGGAGGAGGGAGCAAGTCATGGCCAGTGTTGCTTCCTAATCTGTACGTGGGAAGTCTGAGTGATTGCTGGGAACACTGGAGGGGCTGGGACTAACAGTCTCAGGCACACATTTCAGCATGGCCTCATGGAGGCCTGACTACCTGCCAGGCTAGGACCTGGAAAGGCATAATCTCAGGGGCAGATCCACCCTTGCAAACTGCTGCCATTGACCAAAGTCCAGATGGGGTGTTGTCCTGCAGCCTGACCAACGGCTACACACCCAAAAGACGTGCAGGCTGAGTCATCAAGGATGTCTGAACTTCGCCCAGTCTTCTTGCATACACAGTTGTGAGGTCTGTGTTCAGACTGCAGGGCAGCTGACAAAAAGTGCCGGGGCACTGTGGGAGCCAGCAGGGCCTCCAGGGGGTGGAGACCCATCCCACAACCACACAGCTGCAAGCCTGCAAGTAGGCCAGGGCTTTGCTGTCTGTCGCCTGCACAGAGCCGTCTACGCATCACTCGTGTGATTAAGAAAGGAGCCAGGTGGGTGGTGCACACCTGAAAACCCAACTACCCAGGAAGCTGAGGCAGGAAGATGCAAGCTCCAGGCCAGGAAGACCGGGTCTCAGATAAAAACTAAGCAGAGCTGGGTCCAGCTCAGTGGTAGAGCACCCCTGGCTCAACCCCAGGGCCACACATAGAACAGGACATCCAGGAACACGTCTGAACATAACCTCCAGGTAACAGAGACCTAGGGGTTAAGATGAGGTTCTTAGGAACCCTCACACCAAGAAAGTGTGGTCTGCCATGTCCGTTTCCCATGTACCCAGATGTCCACTGCAGCGGAGGACAGTGTGAGCATGGGAGGGAAGACTCTCAGAGCCAACTAGCCACGGGCCTGCATCTGCAGCTGGTACTTTACCAGTGGTACTTTACACCCAGCCTTTGTGGTGACGACAGTTTCCTCTCTGTGCCCTAAACTCCATACCCTCAAACCCAAGTCCTTCAACAAGCCATTTATGTGCCCAGAACAGCAGGCCTGGCATGACAGTCTTCAGCCCTGGATTTGCCCAGCTTGTGGTACTCCCATCTCAAGATGGCACATGCCCAGAGCCACCCTTTCCCCGGCCCTGTCTTGGCAGTGCTCATCCCTACTTCCAGTTCACCTGTTGTCACTAGGGCACAGCCCGGTCAGGTATGCAGAGCCCTCTGTGCACCTCATGTGCCCTGTCTGTACACAGGTGCCATCTTGGCAGGCTCATCTGACACACTGCAGGCCCAGCTTCTAGGACATTCTAGGAAAGTCTGCCACAGAACAGAAGCTCAATAAATGCTTCTTGAATGAAATAATTAGAATTGGTGCAGAGGCTACACAGTTAACATGAATGTTGCACTGAAGGTAAAAAGACAAACTTTGGTAGAAAACTGAGGCCATTTTTGAGGAGCTCCCACAGACACTCACCTCTCTGTGTCTGACAGGGCATCGGCTCCAGGTTGGATTTCCAATTCCAATTGCAGCCAGTCCCCAAAGGTTAGCTGAGAGACAAGGGTGGTCAGTGCAGGGCAAACTCCACACACTTGTTGCTTTATCCCCAAAACAAAGGCCTGTCTAAAGCCAACTGCAGTTGAAGAGCCTGACAGAAAGGGCCCCAATTCTGTCAAGGAAACACCTGTGCACACTCCATCCCCAAGAGACCCAGGCCTCTCAGATCACAGGTTCCACACTCGCCTCTTCTACCAAGTGCATTTGCTCCAAGCCCGAGAAGTGAGGCCAGGTGCCATGGAGCTCTGACGCTATCCTTGCTCACTGCCCAGCCCTGAGCCGCTGGCCCATGTGCTGCACCCCCCCCACACACACACACACACAAAGCCAAGACAGATGAGTTCCTGGCTCCCTGCGCTGGGGGGAGCCCTGCGGGAATAACCACTGCTCAGGTATTCCTCACAGCCCACTTCCTGTCTGAAGATTCCCAGAGCAGTTTTACAAACAGATGTGGGCAGGTGGGCTGCTCTCAAAGCCTCACACTATGGGGACCCTCAGCAGACCCTTTGAGGGTGAGGGCGAAGGCCAGGCAACCAGGTGCAAGCTGGGAGCAGGCCCCTCTGCCTCCATGGGGCCCCTGGGAGGAGCTGCCACGCCCCTCCCACACTGGGATGCTGAACAAGCTGGGAAAGTCGTGCAACCCACCTTTCAGGTTTTTTCCCTAACTTAACAACTGTTCAGACACACGAGGGAATGGTGGAGCAGCAATGTGGTTTTTTTTTTGTGTGTGTGTGTGTGGGGGGGGGCGGGGGGGGTACTGGGGATTGACTGCAGGGGTGCTTAACCACTGAGCCACATCCCCAGCCCCTATTTTGTACTTTATTTCGAGACAGGGTCTCTCTGAGTTGCTTAGCGCCTCACTTTTCACTGAGGCTGACTTTGAACTTACAATCCTGCCTCAGTCTCCCAAGCCTCTAAGATTACAGGCACGCCACCGCACTCAGCTGCAATGTGTTTTTAATTCACCCTTAAAATCTTCTGTAAAAAGTTACTATTGGGCCAGGCACAGAGGCTCACACCTGTGATCCCAGCAACATGGGAGGCTGATACAGGAGGATCACTGTTGAGAGACCGGCCTCAGTAATTTAATGAGGCCCTATCTCAAAATATATATGAGTTTAGTGGTAGAGCACCCCTGGATTCAATCCAGGGACAGCTGGGGGAGCCTGGGAAGCACATCAGGTATTTCCACAGAGTTTCTCACAGCTGCACATGGAGCTCTAGTGGCCTCAGTGCAGAGTGGGCCTGCATACCCCAGGGCTTCATGCCTCTCAGCTCAGCGCTCACACACCCAGGTGGGGAGGGGGCAACCTACACGAAACTCCCCGGTGAGCAGCTCCTGGAAGTGGCCCTGTCTCCACAGGGCCAGTGTGGCCATCTTCCAATCTGCAGGGGAAAGGCACAGGGGTCCCCAGGGAAGGCCAGCTGCATCCTCCTGAGGGAGAGGCACCCGGGCCTCTGAGAAGAATCTGAACACAAGAAACTGGAACTGAAAGAGACACATGGTAAGGCCAGAACACCGTTCCCCCAGCCGTGCCCCGCAGGTGACCTTGGGGGCAAAGTGTCCCCCATGCTTGGCATTTGCTGCCCCGAGCTGGCGTCTGTGAGTGCATCCAACTGTGTCTGGGGCTGCAGGCCCGAACGTAGAGGGCTGGAGCCACACCACCTTCCAAAGGTCTGCCCTGGCCTCGTGGGAGGGGTTTGGGCTGTGGTACCCGCTGCCCCCACTGTGGACATTCAGGGATGGAACGCCCAAGGAGTCTGCCCTTCTGACAAACGCAGCAGGATCCACTAGATGAAAGCCTTAGGATTCTCCTTTAGATGGAAAGAAGCTTCTCGTGAACACACCCTGTGAATGCCAGTGTCTGTTTCTTTAAAAGAGGAGCAGACAGGTGCAGCTGCTACTTCACACCCAGATTCAGTAGGGAGACACCCCAGATGGCCACGGCAGTCCCCAACCAAGGCCCGATGCCCACCGAAACCTGCGACAGTGGCAGACCTGGCCTCTGCAGTACAGAAGACCAGGAACCCGTACACCTACCTTCTTGACAAGACCTGGAGACAAACAGCTGTGCCAAGAGTCGCAGGGCTGGGGAGACACCCTGCACAGAGCGTAAGAGAGCGCTGCGGTGCAGAACCTGCCAACAGAGCAGCAACAACCATGGAGGGCTCGCTACACTGACCTCAGCACCTTCTGGCCTGGGGGCCTGAGCAGCCATCCCCAGCCATCCCCTGAGCTGCAGCTGCCATCCCCACAAGTCCCTGACCACACGAGGCAGAGGTGCACTTCAGGTGTGCAAGGGCTGAACTGGTACCACCCGCCTCAGACCAACCAGGAGCTTGGGTGTTCTGTAAGGGACACGGCCAGGAGGGAGGTGGACACCCTGGACTTGAGGGTGTGTCATCCCCATGAACAGAAGAGGAGGAGTCCTCAGAGCCAGTGAAAGGTGTGCTCAGGCGTGTCCTGAGAGATGAGCATGCTTCTTCGCACACAGGGGACATCCCTGAGCATGGCCTCGGCCTCCGCGGAGCCAGTCACATAAGACCAGCTGTGATGATGTGCAGAGGCAACGATGAACGGGAACAGAGCCTTTCTGCCCCCCGCGCCCCCGCCCCCGAGACCAGAGCACCAGGAAGGTGGGGAGCAAGAAAGGGGACGCAGCACAGATGGCGTGGGGCCAGGCTACAGGTGTGCGTGGGCGCCCCCACCACTCCTAACGCACCCAGGAGCATCCACACCAGAACACAGCAGCGACACCCTCCCTAGGAGGTGCGCAGTAACCAAGGTGTATCAGAGACGTCCACAAGGTGGAAACCTCTCCCTCTACACGTCTATCTTTTCTGGGGGCTAGTGATAAGGCCCCAGGCCTTGTACATGCTGGGCCAGTGCTCTCCTTGAGCCGTACCCCAGCCCACCCAGTCCTCCAGGGTATTATCTGATGAATGCTTACTTCTTTTCCCAGGAGAGGAGAGCAGTGACTGAGAGGAGAGTCGGCCTACCTCAGGCAGAAGAGCGAGGACTCCTTGGTGTGGCACGTCAGGAGGCTGTCGAGGAACCTGGGGACAGGAAGGCTGCTGGCCGGGGCAAGAGGGCCTGGCTCCACCTCCGGGAGTGCAGACCCAGGCTCACCCAGGTGGACAACCAGGACAGCCAAGCCCAGCACATGTGAGGCACTCAAGCGTGGGCCCTGAAAAGAGGGACAAGTGGCAGAGCTGGTGACAGCCCCCCAGCCAGAAGGCTCCTGTGCTTGGAGGACTAGCCAGGCTGCCCAGCCCTTGGAGCAGCCCCCGTGTGGCCTGCATGAAGGGGGAGCCTACCTGGTGGTGGAGCAGCTGGCAGAGGCGGGTAAGGACTGCAGGGAGCAGCGTAGGTCCACACAGGGTCCTCACAAAGAAGGCTGCCCAGGGACCCTGCCTGTAGATAACAGAGGTGAGGCCCTGGCCCCACACACCACTCCCACAGCTGATCCAGGTGCAGAGGCCTACAAAGGGCCAGGTCATTCCTCCAAACAGGGACCAAGGACAACAAGACTTCTACAAATCCCCACGTTTTGGAAGTCGGCCTGGACACCTGCTCCTGGAAGTTGAGCTCACTCTGGCCTGGCCTGCTATCTTGATGCCCCAGGACAGCCCAGGATCACCCAGTCAAACTCCTGAGCCCTTACCTCTCTGGAGGGGCAGAGCTGGAGGCCACCATCAGGCTCTGACAGAAAGCTGAGAGCAGGAGGTCCACCACCTGGGAGGGACATGGCCACCAACGGCTGTAGCTCCCACCACTAGCAACGGGAAGCAGCCTGTGCAAGCATGGGGAGATGGCAGGGCAGCTGGTCCCGGGACCCCCACCCCTGCCGATTCCAGGACTCGTCCAGGACTTGGAAATCAATGCTGAGCAGCCGAAAAGGGTGAGTAGAGACTCAGGCCTGGGGCTGCAGAAGGTGTCTGCAGCCAGGACGCACACAAACGGGCTGGCTGGCCTGGGCAGGGAGGGCCCAGGTCTTTGAAGCCTGACCCAGCTCCTGACATAACCTACGAAGCGGCTGGTGCCACAGCCTGCACCCACCAGCTGCTCCTGCTGCTGAAGTTCTGGAGCAAGGACGTTGAGCTGAATCCTCCCTCTGCCACGGGGGCTGTCATCCTCACCATGCCCCAAGGCCGCGCTCAGTCGTTCAGAAACCACGGCCATCTGAGCAGATATGACTGCAGGTAGAGAAACCACTCAGGGAAGACAGGACACGGGGTAGACCAGTGCTCAGGGGCTGACATGGCCTCGCAGAAAGCTAAAAAGCCTCGGCCACCAGCTGGCTCCCACACCCCAGCCAGGCAGTGGCAAAGCTCATTCTCATTGGGGGAGGCAGTGATCAGACCACGGACACACGGGGACCTATGCCTCGTGACACTGAGCACATGTGGTGTGGACATGCTGGGCCTCTTCCACTGCTCCTTCTTCGGGGATCAGCCTTTGGCTTCTGAAACCCCAGCCCAACCCTCCCACACGGCACTGGACAGCCGGGGCGAGACGAAGGCCGACCACCCCACTCAAGCATGCAAACCTGTGGCTCAGGAAGCAGCTGAGCTGACCTTTTCAGGTTCTGGCTTAAGAGCAGAACTCTTCACAGTGCCCTCCAAGGGCCACGTCCTGGCCAGGCCTGGCAGCACAGGCCTGTGGTGCTACCACTGGGGAGACTGAGGCAGGAGCATCACTAGAGCCCAGGTGTTTGAGTCTAGCAAGCCCAGCCTCAAAAAAACACAACAGGAGCACCCCAGGACCACGCGAGCACGGCTCTGAAAGGCTGTGTCTCCAGCCTGTGCAGGCGGCCTCAGGGAGGGGCTGCACCCCAGAGCTGCAGTGCTACGGGGCTGTTTGTGTGACAACTGAAACTGGTTACTCTGTGTGACGGTGGGCGTGGTTTGTTCCCAGGGTGGTGGCATTGGTGGGTGTGGTGGGGTCCCAGGGGCATCACCTCACAAGGCCTGCTGTGGTTCTCCAGGACACTACTGGGCCTCCCAGGAGGCTGAGAGACTGTCACAAAAGCACAGGCCTGATCGTCCTGGTCTCTCTGGCCTCCTGCTTGCCTGTGCCCTTCTGCACATACAGTCAAGCCTGGGACTGCCTGCCTCCAGAACTGTGAACTAAATATATCTTATTTCTTTAAAGATTACCCAGTGTTGGGTATTTTGTTATAGCAACAGTAAGCGGCAATACGCTCAGGAAACATGTGGCTTACTTATTTCAGATTCTGCATCCTAGTAAGAATCTGAAAGTCCTGCAGTCAGTTTTCACTGCCACAGACTGCTGGGTTGCACCAAGTGCTAAGGGGCTATGCATGCTCTCACTCCATGCATGAAGCCTTCACCCCCACTCAGTGTTTCAGAGACAGAGTAGAGGCCCAGTGTACTTCACATTAACACAGACAGCCAGGATACTGGAGAAACAGCCTCCTACGAGCTCTGCTCAGCTTTCTTCCTCCATTGCCCATCCCACTGGCTGCCAAATAGCACAGTGTTCATCTCTGCCCAGGGTCTAGGCAGCTGCAGTGAGACCAGAGGAAAGACACAGCCTCCACTGTCATGGCTCCAACCCCACACTGCACACTCACGCAGAACACGCACACTCTATCAGACACCCCGTCCTCACCGTCAGCCTGGGTGGGGTCTGCCATCAAGGCTCTGAGTTCTGTCAGCGCAACCCTGAGTGGTCCCAGGGGCTCCTCGGCATGGGTGGGTTCTGCCCTCATTCCCAAGGCTGCACCTGAGGGAGGGGAGGCAGAGGGGAAACAGGTTCCTGCAGATGCCAGGCCTAGGTGTCAAGGACAGACAATGGATCCTCTCTCTGACACTGTGTACAGCGTGTCACATCAAAGGTGCTTATAAACAAAGTGAAGAAAAGCAGTTTTGCAGACCACAGCCATGAGTGTGAACGCACAGGTGTAATGGAAACAGAGCTGCACAGATGGGGGCAGGGGCAGGTGGGCATCCCAGCTGGACGACTGAGGGAGGCAGCCACACATCCACATCCCCCAGCACGCCTGGGACAGAGCTGTTGACTGTCACCAGCTCAGCCTGCGGCTACATCTACTCAGGAGAAACGTTGGCAAAAGATCCTGGTTTAAACTCTCACATCGTTTTCGCTAGAAAAGGAGAAGCGTGCCTTGGAGCAAAGCAAGCTCACATGTGGCTTGGCTGCAGAGGCACACACTCACCAGTGCAAGCTGCGCCTGTGGGTCTCGCCCAGCAGGAACTGGCAGCCATGGCTCTGCTCGAGAACTCCACCACACACCATGAAAGCACCTGGGGACCCAGGAGCTGAGGGCAGGGTCGCAGGCCTGTGACCCAGTGACTCAGCATGGGTCATGAATCTGAGTCTCAAAACAAAATTTAAAAAGGTCTGGGTCGGCCGGGCATAGTGGCACACACATGTAATCCCGGAGGCTCGGGAGGCTGAGGCAGGAGGGTAGCAAGTTTAAAGCCAGCCTCAGCAACTTACCAAGACCCTGACTCAAAATAAAACAAAAAGGTTTGGGGATGTGACTCAGTGGTTAAGCACTCCCTGGGTTCAATCCTGGGTATCAAAAAAATTTCTGGGAAGTAAGTACAGCTCGGTGGTAGAGCACTTGCCTAGAAGCATGAGGGTTAGGGCTTGGTCCCCTAAAGTAGGAAGGTGTGAAGGAGGGCAACTCTCTGAAGAGAAGCCCTCACCACGTGGCTAAGGCGTCAGACCTCCCAGCTGTCCCCAACACAGCACTGGTCCCTGCCAGAGCTTCTCCTGGGTCTCCACAACCGCGGGGAACTGTCTAGGCCTATGGAAGGAGGGTTGGAGATAGAACTGGAGAGAGGACTATGTCGAACAGAACAGGCTTGTTCAGCCTGCATGGCCCTACAGATGTCAAGGGACATAAAAAAGGAACAAACACAAAGATGGACACAGTACGCCTGCAGTGCTAGTGATTTAGAGGCTGAAACAGGAGGATCACAAGTTGGAGGCAGCTTAGTGAGACCCTGTCTCAAAGTAGAAAATAAAAAGGGATGGTGCAGCTCAGTGGCAGTGTATTCCTAGGATTAACCTCAGCACCAAGAAGAAAACCCAAAACCAAAACCCACAAACTCTCTGCTTCGATGACGAGGTGCTGGTCCCTGTGACAAAATGACAGGGCAAAGCACCAGGTTGCTCTGGACAGGGCCCTTCCCTGCTGCTGCAAGAGCTGGCAGAAAGGACACGGGTGTGCATGTGCAGACGTGTGCGACAGCGACCTGCAGGGCTGTGGAGCTCCGCCTCGCGCTCCGTGCTCACAGAGCAAGTGGGGCCTCCACCACCAGCTGTTCTCTATGTGCTTCACGGGGCCATCTAAGGCACCAGAGTAGCCACACATCATGGCACCTACTGTGCCTGCAGGAGTCAGCACAGGCACCTGGCAGGCACAGGGGCTTCCGCTCCAAACACCCCTCATAAGAGCCAGGTTAAGGCAACCTATGGAACCCCCATCTCATTCGGTGTCACTATGAACAGCCCTGGCGGTCACTGATGCAGCCTTGGGGGCAGGGGCTCTGAGCCAGGGAAATGGGAAGCATCAGCCCCAGCAAGGGCAAGACTACCTTCTGGAGGCTTCTCAGCAGTAGAGCAGGCTTGGCAGTAGGCAGCATACAGAGACTGGGGGATTTTATCTGCTCTGGATCGGAAGACAACAATATTTAAGTAAATCATGACAATTTAATTCCCTAGTTTCTGACTCCTAAACTGTTTTGCAAAGTAAAAAACATTAAATTTAAATAAATGATACTTCACTGTGTATAGTACTATCCTGGTTTTTGTTTGTTACCAGGGATGGAACCCAGAGGCACCTAACCACTGAGCCACATCCCAGCCCTTTTTATTGAGACAGGATCTCACTGAGTTGCTTAGGGTCTTGCTAAGTTGCTGAGCCTGGCCTTGAACTTACGATTCTCCTGCCTCAGCCTCCCAAGTCGCTGGGATCACAGGTGTGTGCCACTGCACCAGGTTCCATAATGGTTTAAGAAAAAAAACATACATAGGCTTTGCATGGTACTTCCTCCACAACACACCAAGCGTGATTATGAATAGCCATCACTACTAAGAAGACCCGGAAGACCCAAGTGACACGTCACACCCAGGCAGAACTCGCTGACAGTCTGTGTGACCCATCTCCAGGCTGCCTCCTGAGACTCTGCTCTGCCGCTCTGGGCTTTAATCTGGAGCACAGCTATGCCCTCATGCTCATTTCTTGCCAGTCTCTCTGCAGGTGCCAGGCGCAGACCAACCCATTGGGCATCTGTGCTGATCCCTCCCAGGGCCTGCAGCAAGCACTTTCGATGCTGTCCCTAGGGCTGGCAGAATGCACTACAGGCCTCTGCATCAGGCGTAACAAGTAGTCCCCACCCTGGAAGGAGGCTTGGTGACCTATCTGTGGCGACGCAATTGTCCTCCATGTCCTGTGCCATGGCCTACTGCCCTGTGTCCAGGCAGCACCAGCCCCTGCTGGCTCCCCACACCACTGTATGCACGACGCTATGTCAATGAATTTGAAACCTAGATGACATAGGTTTTCTAGAAACCTACAAAAGACTCAAGAGGAATAAAAAAAAAAAAAAAAAACCTGGCTAACCTAATAGCTATTCACAAAACAGAGTCACTGACACCACAGACGTCATCAGGACCAGACAGCTATGCAGCCAAGCTTGGCCCAAGCCTCAGCCATAGGAATCTCAGTTCCACACATTGCTCAGGGCACAGAAGAAAACCACCCATCCATCTTGTAAAGCACGAAAACGTCACTGCCTAGGCAGCCAAGGTACACGAAGAGGATCAGGCTCAGGCTTGGTGAAACTTGCCCCGACCATCACCATATCACGTCCAGCAGTTCCTAACAAAACCTCATCCCAGCAGGGACATCCCAGGAAGGCAAGGACAGTTCAACAGCAGGAAAAACCTACCTCAGGCATTACCACAGGACCAGGAGAAGAGCATGATCGTCCTGAGAACTCGACCCTCAGGAAGTCCTGAGTGGGCCAGCGAGAGGGCTCCTCCACACAGAGACACACCCAGAGCAGTCACCACAAGCACCTGATCCAGGGTGACTCTCAGCAGCATTCCTACTGCAGTGAGGATCAGACTGCTGTCGTTCTAGGTGAAACCAACACTCCTTCCTAACACAGCATGACAGAAGGCAAGAGGCCAGCGGCTAACAACCAGAATAGAAGCTAGACACCAGGATACCCAAACCTCAGCCATACCCGAAGAAAGAATTCAAGAGAACATGCTGTTTGCCGTAGCAATGAAATCTAGGTCATCAGTAGTCATCTACAAAAGATGCACAGAAAGACACACTGGAGAACGGAAAACTCACTGTCACTGCGCTAGAAGCTCCCAGTGTTCCCAGACACACCCTGAGGATGTTCACTGAAGTTGTGCTTCAAGAGTCCAGCCTGCAGGCATGGACAGCTGTTGGCCGTTCAGTCTGTGAGACCTGATGAGTGGTGTGTGCTGAGAGGGTGCTCAGCAGAGAGAGAACGCCACACAGCAGCTAGAACAGAGCCAGAGTACGATGGGCCGCCAAGTGAAGCTCTGGCTGTGTTGGTCGCAGCCGAAGACGAAAAACTGATGTGTGAGCCAGGAGCAATGGAGCACACCTGTAACCCCAGCAGCTCGGGAGGCTGAGGCAGGAGGACTGTGAGTTCAAAGCCAACCTCAGCAACAGCAAGGCACTAAGCAACTCAGTGAGACCATAAATAAAATACAAAATAGGACTGGGGATGTGGCTCAGTGGTTGAGGGCCCCTGGATTCAAACCGCAATTCTCCCCCCCCCCAAAAAAAACACACAAGATGCCAACTCTCACCCACTGTAAATGCTCCTAAGGAAAAATGAAAACAATGCTGGTGAGGGTGTGGAAACACCCAAGGGCTTTGGCCTAGCAGAAAGAATCTATTTTAAAAGGCAAAGATAGCAAAATATGGGTGGAGGTTCATGGTGGTACTTTAAATGTGTTTTAAATTGCTGTATGTGCAGTTCTATGTATCAGAAATACTTTATTTATATCACAAATAAATAAAAACAAGGATGCTAGAGGTTTTTCCTGCCAGCCCCCATGGGCCCTGGAAACAGCAGGCACTTCCTACCTCCCTCAGGAAGAAGGGCCTTACAGGCA